TCACTTTCATCAACACAACACGTGTTTAGTGCTCGCTTCTCGGGTACTTCGCTAGGTCGCACACTTTCCCTCCCATCGGGGATGATGATACGATCCCCAGTTGGGGAATTTCTCCGCCAAGAAGCCGTACCGTGTTTGTCTCTCATTTCTAGATAGACAGCAACATTAGTTAATATTGAGGGGTGTTGCACTGTGTGATATGACCAATACTGAGTGGTTAGTTCTGAGATGATTAACAAGCAACGCATAACCGTGCATAGCATTAATAATGACATACACTCGACCGATGATGCTCGACAACATTAACTGTCTGTGTTTCGGCAGCAACACAATTGCTCTGTCAAACTCTTCTTCTTCAACGACATTTTGTTTTGCCGGAGTTAATCCATTAACAGACGTAAAATACGTCTCAGTGGAGCCCCACAATACGGGGAGTGCGAAGCACTCCTCTGACACAACTATCCTGTCCCCCTGGTCTGTGTGACGCTATGAACAAGGCTGAGTACGTCACGATTGAGTACATCAAGCTAGAATCTAAGATGTAAAGTCTTTCTGTCTTTGTCCACTACACTTTATTAATGTATTGGTGTAGGCACGGTTTGTTTCACCCATTTTTTTAACCTTCTTACGGGGGAGGCTGGTAGCGGCTAGCCCAAAGAGGCGTTGTAGTCGAGCTACCAAAGCCACCAGCTCGTTGCCTTCAGATTCTAATGCACTGCCAGGCGCGGTCTCACCCAACTCCCTCGTAGAAGGACACCACTCAACTGGATGTCCGGTAAGCCCATGATCACTCGACATGGCCAGTGGCGTGAATTAGCCAAAGTCAGGTGAGAGCAAAGTAATTGCCGCTACGGTCGCCTTTGGTATGGGTGTACATCATGACAGTGTCCGTTGGGTTATACATTTCTCGATGCCTCCTAGTATACAACATTATCAGCAGGAATCCGGTATGAACCTATCAAACGTCTCGGAGGATGTACCTACTCCTTGTGCCAGGTCGTTGTGGTCGCGATGGTAGACCAGCGATTTCAATACTGATGGCCTCGCCATTCGACATATGTCGTCAGAGTGTGATGGTTTATTGGAAGCCTAACGCCCTTCAGGAGCTCTATGTGATGGCCGAGTACGCCTTCTCGACGACTCGGTGTAGGAGAGGGTATCTTGCGGCTCATATGGGAGATGCTGAATGCCCATCTTGTGATGGTTATTGTGATATCTGCAACACCGAGAGCTCCGCTCCGCCTAGAAAAAGCCTCAAGCACGGTCCGAGCGAAGACAAGATCGTTAGAGAGGTTTTTTATCAGCTCGATGAGGCAGCTGCGAGAGGGGAAAAGTTGACGTTGTTGAAACTGAGCGAAAAATGCCGGAAAAATCTCCACTGCGAAATTGAAGGAGTGGCAGTTGCTACCATCAGCCTTCTCAAGTCGAGTCATTTGAGGGAGACTTTCGATGCTACTGCATACTCTGTGAATTCATATATCGAAAAGCGAAGAACGTCCTCACCGCGGCACCTTTGGGAGTTCACTCATCGAGAAATCGGGAGTAGCGTGTCCCGAGTTTTCAATAGTCGGGCGCCGCAGGTGGAACTCAATGTGAACGAAGAAAAGCTGCGGATTGTTGAGAGGAAGCTGAACCATGGACGGCTTGAGATCGCTGCGACTGTTGATAAAGATATGCCTCCGCAGAAGATTCTTTCCGCCCAGGAAATTCAGAGCTGCGGAATACGATGGAGTAGGGATCCTCTGGAAGCAGTCGGAAGCAATTCGTGTCCCAGCGGTCGATCTCTACGGCAAAGAGTGGCTTCTTATTTGGTGTGTGAGTAGAGGAAAGTGCGTTTCCTTTTA